TTTGTATTGCTTAAATACAACCCGGTGATTCCCATCAAAAGATATTTAAAACAGTTCTAGTTGAGATGTCAGTAGCTCTCGCATAGAGAAAGCTTTCTCAAACTGAGCCAACCACAGGATGAAGAAAAGACCTCTGGCCCACACGGAGGGGAGGAAAGCTGCTCTCCATTCTGCAGTCGCTCTTATAGGGCGCGTGCATTCGCTAGACAGACAGAAAGCGAGAAATCACCCCCCAGAGGGGATGGCCATGCCGCAATCCCTTCTCTGTTCTCCTCGGGATCTTGGGCACACATGCACACGCGCCTGGCGTGAGTTTTAAGCCACCGGGTCCAGGACACAAACCACGGTTGACTACGTGGGAGTCCAGCGATGTCATGGGTGATGTACTAACAGTAGAGGCATATGTACATAATAAATAATATAAAATAAAGCATATACATTTGTGGATTTAAGGGATTCCAGAAACAAAGTCAATGGATCGATATACTACACCTTCACAGTAGACCTTGGACATGGGGAATAATGAATTAGAAGCTAGGCTGGGGCTCTTGGGAGAATGGGAAACCTGAAACCTCATTCTTCCCCACTTCCCTCTATTCTGGGAGCCTGGGACACCAGCTGTGTACACTAATGGGCCCTGCACCTCCAACAGAAAGGGCAGGGCCCAAAGCTTCACCAGGCCTACTCGCTAATTCTCTTCAGGGTGCATCTGAAGAGGTATCTGGCTCCCAAAAAATTACTTCCTAAGTGAATCCACGTAGATGAGATGTGGGCAGATGCCCAAGGTATTCCACCGTCATTCATCCAATTTGTTCATGGTCTTAGAATCTGAAAACAGTGTGTCGCTTTCTTACAGTGAGTGTTAGATCTGTGTACATTCAAACCTTGGCATACAGACACCTAGAATTTCACTCTTTTGCCATTAGAACCTTTGTATTGCTTAAATACAACCCGGTGATTCCCATCAAAAGATATTTAAAACAGTTCTAGTTGAGATGTCAGTAGCTCTCGCATAGAGAAAGCTTTCTCAAACTGAGCCAACCACAGGATGAAGAAAAGACCTCTGGCCCACACGGAGGGGAGGAAAGCTGCTCTCCATTCTGCAGTCGCTCTTATAGGGCGCGTGCATTCGCTAGACAGACAGAAAGCGAGAAATCACCCCCCAGAGGGGATGGCCATGCCGCAATCCCTTCTCTGTTCTCCTCGGGATCTTGGGCACACATGCACACGCGCCTGGCGTGAGTTTTAAGCCACCGGGTCCAGGACACAAACCACGGTTGACTACGTGGGAGTCCAGCGACATAGCCATTACATTAACTGCTGGTCCCATTCTGCAGTTGCTGTGAACCCCCATCTCCTCCTCCTGTCCTGAGGACTGACCAAGGACTCGGGAATATGAAGGAGGAGGCAGAAGAAAAACCAGCGAGTGAGCACTGACGGCTGGCAGGAAGCTTTCAAGTCCAAGCAGGAAGGCCCATTTGTCACAACCTCGAAGGCAGTAACAGCAAGCCTCCCCTTAGCCCACTCAGCCCCCAAATGGAGGCAGATGAACTGCAACTTAGGAGTCTTGGGACTCATTTTTCCCTCAGCCCACTTGAACACGAGAGAAGAAAAGGTAAAGGTCTGCAAATGGCCCTGAGGTATAAATTCCACTGAGTAGGTCGCTCATTGATTAGTTTATATCAAAAAAGTTTCCAATCCCCAGATCACTTTCATACTCAACTCTCCAAATCCCCCCTTTTTTTTTTTTTTTTTAAATTAACCCACAACTCCCCCAAAGACCCTTGCTGAAGAAGCACCATTAACTCAGCTCAGAACGGAACCAAACATACTTTCTCCTGGAGGCCTCTCAGACCTTGGCCTGCCAACCTGGCCTTGAATTGATCCCCAACCCTTTACAAGAAAAGCTCATCCTCGGGAATATGCTGAGAGGAGAGCTGCTCCCATTGCCCACACCACTCCCAGTGGGAGTTTAGGTCATGCAACCCAACGCACCGAGCCAGCTTCCCTGGTCTGCTCTTGCTTGGAGTCCCAGGGCACAAGGCAAGCACCTTCCTATGGCAGGTCCCCCTTCCCAGGTTCAGCCCTGGGGAAAACTGGGATAATTTTGACTGCCCAGGAGACCTCACCCTCCTGGACACAGGAAAAGTGAAGATGGCCACAGATGCATGGCTGGTCTTCAGAAGATGACAGGGGTGGTGATGGTGGTCACCAGCCAGGACACAGGCTCAATCAGCCAGAGCCCACACAGTCTGCTACATAACCTGAAGAGAGAACTTGAGGGCAAGCGTTCACGGTTTCCTAGGGAAAACAGATTCCTGCTTGTATCTACCACTGTTTCCTAGACACGGAAAAGCTACGTCTTTAGTTCTGCTAGGGCTAGCACAGGCAAATATATTCACAGTTAATGTTCCATATTAGTGTGAAGTGCTGCATTTAATGTTTGCAGAAAAGTATCTTGAAATAACATTAGAAACCAGGAAGATGCCCTCCTCCCACCCACTTGGAGAAGCCACCCATGTCAACATGGGTTCTGGGTGCTGAGACATGAGGTGAGGAGGGAGTTAAACACGGTACCCTTCCAAATTATTCAAGAACCAAAGCTTAAGTAGTTGAGTAGCACCCCAAAATCCAAGTACAAATTTTAAGATTCTGTTTTCCCAAGAGTTAAAAGATAGGCTTTTGGACTTGCCTGATGGATATGAAACAGAGCAACGAAAAGAATCCTCTAAGACAGAAAAAGCCCCCCTCATTTATAAAAAGTATCCCACGAACATCTGGGTGCTAGGGATCCAGTTCCAGCAGTGCCTTTGAAAGGCCCAGTGTGGCTGTGTAGGAGGGAATCCCCCCACACACACACAGCTGGGGGGGGGGCAATGAAGCTGAGGCCCTCAGGTCTGACAGGTGAGCTCCACCAGCAACCAGAACCCCAGGCCTGTGTCTGCTCTGCCCCTCGACTCTCCCTTGCACATCAGAGAAAACAGCCCCTCGAGAGGACAGCCCAGCCCAGCCCAGCCAGAGGTGCTAAGCAGCAGCCGCTGCTGAGATCTCCGCCATTGGGTGTCTTTGCTCAACCCCGCTGGCTTTCCAGGTATGACTGGCACAGGCCTACGCCCTAGAGAAACGAGCCAGCATTTCTCCTTCAACTGTCGGTGCGGTCAGTTTCCAGAGGGAAAAGAGTTGCTCAGATGTGTGAAGGGGCTTGAGCTCTCTCCCAGCAGATAACGCCTACAGCCAGATGTCAGCCTTTAGCCCTCCAGGGGCCAGGCGGGAATTGTTTTAGATTGCCTGTTATAAAATAGTGTGAGTGGTCGGAGGTGAAGAGCAGTTAACAGAAAATGAACCTGAATTTGGCAGACTAAAATTTCATCCTTTGGACGCCCCACTGCAAAGCTACCCCCTGCCAGCTCCTGTCTAAGAGAACACTTTGCAAGAGGCCACCGCGTAGGGCACATGGACAGCATGAGGGAGTTGTTTCTCCTGGAAGCCAAGGAGGCAGCAGCTGCCATCCTTGCTCCACTCCCAGGCCGTCATGGCTCTTCAGGGTTTGGGGGGCAGAACGGCTCCGAGAACGAGCACCAGCACGTTGACCTGATTCCGGCAGGACATCCTGAGATGGGCTGTGCATGAAGAAGCAGACGGGCCAGGAGAGCTGGGTGGGCTCAGCAGGCCTGGCTCCCCTATCTCAGCTCTCTGAGCTCTCTCAAATACTGCCCAGCCCAGCCTGAGGACGGCAGGTGTGGGGCGGAGAGCCTCCTCCTCCAGCAAAGCCCAGGTTTCACTTTGTTCCAGGGACCCTCTATTTCTACACCCTCATCGCTCTGGGGTTGTGTAAGCCAGATGCATCTTACAAAATTGACTTTTTAAGTTGGAAGTATGTTTAAAAAAGGGGAGACTCACAGTGTGGGATCCCACTACGGTCAACCTACAGGCCAGGGGCTCTGTCTGAGGCAGTGGGTAAGTGCTAGCCACAGGCCACTCAGCCCCCATGGGAGACATGCCCATGACCCTTCACCATGTGAAACCCTCACTGGGGGCTCTGATGCTCCAGGACTGACCACCCAGCGAGATACTGAGCCAAATGTGCCATTACACAAGCCACCGAGCTGCTCCTGGGAGGCCAGCGGCATGTTGCCGGCTATCCCCAACCAGAGCCCAACCCAGGCTGCACGGATTTCCTACCTCAACGAGGGCTGAGGAAACTGCTGCCCGGCCCCAGGCCTTCCCTTCAGCGGCAAGCCCAGGGCAGAACGAGCTCTCTGCTGGTGGCTGGGTGCGCAGGCACTGACGGCCCCTGTGAATACTGGTCAGTACCAAACCACCAACGAAATGCGCGAATCCCCTGGGCTAACGCTGCAGACACAGAGCAGCTAGTTCGGGATCTAGTCACTCCAAAAATACCTGCTGACTGACGTTCACTTACACGTGATGAATTTGGTATTAAAATAAGACAGTCGCACATAAAATGGCCACAACACACATTTGGTTTCTCAATCCCTGTTTGGGGCCAAGCTGACCCTGCCTGTACAGGTGGCCTCTGTGGGGTGCACCACATCCGAGGTGGGAGGCAGAGGCCCTTGGGCAGGGGCACAGCTGTTGCTGGGCCCTGCGGGCCCAGGGACAGAGGGGAAGGGGACGGTTGGCTCCCTGGAAGGAGGGGCAGGGGCTGACGATCCCCAAAGTTCCCTCCTTTAAAAACATGGGTCTAGAACAGCCTTCTCGGAACAGAACAGAGTGGTCGGGAGGTCCAACTCCTTTTCTGATAACTACGCATGTCCCAGTGGGAGGGAGGAGCCGAACTCCTCACCATATATTTACTGAAAAGCCCTGTGGAAGATTTCCATTTGGCATCTGTGTAGCAGCATCTTGGGTTAACAAGAGCAAGGCTGGGAAGGTGGGTGACGGTGCTCTAAGCCTGGGCGTGGGAGGCTGGCTGAGCCAGAGACCCGAGGCTAGAGGAATGTCAGGATGTAGTCAGCTCGCCTCTTGCCAATGATAAATCATGGGTTTGAAATTCATTAACATTCATTTTGGTGATAAAAATTCCTTAGGGTGGAAGCAAAATCACATTCCCAAGCACACATTAAGCCTTCCTGAGGGAAAGGGGTATGGTTAAACATCCAAATCTCCCAACAACACTGAGCTTAGAGAGGTGACTGCAGGTCCCTCCGCAGGCTAGACTCCACGCCGATGACAGCCTTGGCAGGTTCTGCAGAAACACAATTTTCTTCATTCATCCATCAAGTTCGACAGTGACACCCACTGGGACACAGAGGAAGGGCTCCCTTCTCTGGGAGGGCCAAAGGCAGCCACTCCAGGGGCAAGTCCATCCTATGAGGGTCATCATGGGATCACAGCAGAGTTTGGACAGAACGACCTAAAACTCTGCAAAAGACACTTTAAAAAACATGATCTCTTGAAAAAATAAATCGCAACAATTTTCGACTTCATGCAGATCGAGGGAGGAGAGTGAATAATGATAAGGTACAGCTGAAAAAATAAACATGATTCTATTTGGGCAGAAGTTCATCTCTAAAACCTTGACCGCCGTGCCCCAGCTGTCCCTCTCACGTCTCTCGGTTCCATTGCGCCCCTCACCATCCTCTTCTGTGGCTCCCAGGAAGGGGACAAAGTCTTTGGTCTCAGAATGTCGCAGGATGCAGCAGGGCATACGAGCTCACACTAATGGAAGTCGTGGTCAGACACGCCCCCGGTGCGGGGCGAGGGCCGGCGGGCATCCCTAGATGGCGCCTTCGTTGTGCAGGCTGTGATTGGCCTTACTGTGTGACACGCAGTTCTGTTCATTGAGCAGGTTGGCCGTCTCATCTGGCAACCCGTCATGCAGCTCCGTAAGAGTCAATTCGATTTTAGTGTTTTCACTGTCTGAAGATTGAGGGGTTTTGTCCATCCGGGATGCCATCAAGGCATTTTGGTATTGCTGTCTTGAGATCTGGGGCCAGAAGATGGCACAGAAAACAAATCAAGTTTATTTTTTAAGTTCTGTTGTCCCTACATCATATTACACATTACATCCCCTGAAAGGCCCGGAGCGGTTTCTCTAGGAGAAAAATCAGCCTCCAGCCCACACTGGGCCACTTTTTAAAGTTCAGGTTGACTCTGGCGAACAAGACAGTTCCGACTGATGTAACCCATTTCCAATTTTTGTCTCAAAATTTCAGAGACACTAGAAAATGGAGATCGGCTTCCACCAGCTGAAGCCGGCTTGTTTCCCAAAGACGGCTTTGTTTCAGGCTAAGCCAAGAGCCGTCTCCAGGGCAGAAGGCGAGCAGCTCCTCCCGGCAAGCCGGCCGCTCAGGAGGTGGAGCCGTCCTCCGCAACTCTTCACAGGCCCCTGGCCTCAGCCCTTTCAGGGCCAGCCTGGAGTCGCTGAGTCAGGGGCTCATGACCGCTCTCTGGAGGGGTGCATTCTCTTGCTCATCATCTCCAGCTCGCAGCCCCCGAGACAGCCCGACTGGTCTGGCGGCTCGTCTGACACAGCCAAGGAGGTGCGTGTCTTTCCCGCCCGAGTCTTAGGCACGACAGATGGAGGCCGAGTTTGTGGCCAAGAACTGAAGGCGGGGACCCCCCCCCACAAATGGCAAAGGGACCGCTCAGTGGAGGGGCAGGCGGCGGACACCCCACCGCTGGCCGGCAGCCCCCTTACCTTCACGAACTGCAGGTCGGACAGGGCGCGCACGGAGTAGTCGGGGATGTAGACTTGAAGGAGCGTGGAGTTGAGCTGGTTATTGCTGCTGCCCAGCGTCGGGGTGATGGCATCGATCCTGTCGCTGCGGCTCAGAGAGTCTGAGTGGTTCAGGCCGCAGGGGCGAGGCGGCGACTTGTTTTCACCTGGAAGGGGAGGGAAGGGAACGCCACCTTTTCAGTGAAGTGAACACAGCCGGACACTCAGCTCTTTATTTCCTGAATGACAACTAGAAGGTTCCTATTCAGGCCCAGCGACCTGGCTCCACTGCGGCAGCCACACCAGGACTTGCAGCTCCAGTGACAGCCGTGGCCGCTCGGCCCCCGTGGCCGTGCACCTTTGTGAGCGCCGTGACATGCACAGGCAAGGATGGGACAAGGCCACCGTCTAGAAGCTACCTGCCAGCACGTGGGCCAGGAGAAGCACTCCGATACTTCACCAGAAGCAAAAACAAAGGCGTCGGAGGATGCTCATCAGTCAGTGTGAGTATTCCTGTCTGCTTATACCACGCCCTACCCCCCACATTACCCTCGTCTCTGACCCCAGTAAAACCCGCCTGTCAGGCAGCCCGAGATGTGTCAGGAACTCGAGAACACAGGAAGACAGCAGATCCTTTAAAAGCTTAAGTTGTCTTAGGTGCTAGGGGATTTTTTAATGCAATTTTAATAGCACCGTTTCATTAAAATCAAGTGAAAGGAAATTCAGATGAGTCTAAGAGTTGCTCTTAAAACGGAAGTTCACTCTAGCTTCTAGTCTCAAGTCCATTGCGGATAAAACCCACGCCTTTGCCAAGGTGTCTTCCACTGCACAATGGCACCGCATCAGAGGGACAGCTCCCCTGTGGCTGCAGCATGTCCCTGACGCGCCCACAGGGGAGCTGCCTTGGCTGGTCTGCCCTCATATGACCCAAAAGTCTGTCACGGAGCCCAACCACAGCCCGCCTCCTTCGCGCCGTCTGTGGAGCTCTAGCCACGTTCATTTCTCTGCTACTTGAAATCGCCCTTAAAAACCTGAAGATGTGGGGCCAGCAGGGGGCGTGGTGGTTAAGACGCTGTACTACCACGTGGCCGACCGTAGTCTGAGAACCGTGCCCGGCGGCTTGCTTTCTCTCGCTCTCTCTCTGGTGAGTGCATGTGCCCTATAGCAAATTAAAAAAAAATAATAATAAAAATAAAAATAAATTTTAAGGAAAAAAAAAAAAAAAACAACCTGAAGAAGTTCCGTGCTCCTTGATCTCCTCTCTGGGCTAGTATTTCAGAGTTTCTTCACCTTATGTGTTTACCAAGTCCTCAACCCCATCCCGATCACTGCCTTAGACTTTGAAATAGGACACCCAGAACTCCAGGAACCTCGGCTCACATGTTCACTTTTCCCTAAAATTTTCATGTCACAATTTTCCCTAAAATTGCCGTGTCATCAACTATTTTTTTCATGGTTAGTCGAAATGAAATTCAGAGTAGCAGTTCTTCTTGCTTCTACTTATCTTTTAAGAGAACAAAGCAAATTAATCATTTAATTACGTCTTATGTTTAGCAGAAATGGAACTTTGAACCGGCGGTTTGATTTTGCTAAGCTTCAGGTTCCTTATCTGTAACACGAGGCTAATAACAGTACCTCCCTCCTAAGGTCTGATGAGGTTAAAATAAGATCGGGACCAAGTGCTTAGCCAGCACCGACGCAGTGAGGCGTGGTAACGCCTGTGTTCTTTCCTGTTAGCGGTTGGCCTCCTCCGGCACTCGCCAGGGCATCTCCATCGTGGCCAGACCCTTCCACGCTGTGAGAGCTTCCCCTGGGATGGCAGGTCCGTCAGTGTGAAACACAGACCTCACTGCACCCCTGGGCTTACCCCGATGCCATCATCCTCTCTACAGACTCAGTGTTTACGTCCATGTGTTAAGATGCAAGGTCACAGGGGCCAGCAGGTGGGGTGGCGGTAAAGGTGCTGGACTCCCACATGGACAACCCTGAAAATCACGCCGGGCACAATATCCTGAGAGGAGGACCGCAGCGTGGCCATCCCCCTTGGGGGTAATTTCTCACCTTCCCTCTCTCTCTCTTTCTGTTGCTCTCTGGCGAACACATGAGCCCTATGGCAAAAGCCTAAGGAGATGTAAGGTTATAAAAACACAGAACACAGAGGCGGCCAGTGGCATGGAGGTTAAGGTGGTTGGATCCCACATGGCCGGCCACAATTTGAGTCCCAGAGTTGGCAGCGTGAGAAACATGCCAGGTGCGCAGGGATGCATGTCCAACATCTGAGAGGAGAATGGAGGAGGGACTGCAGTGTGGCCGTCTCCCTGGGGGTTCTCACCTCCTCTCTCTCATTCTCTCTCTCACGTTCTCTCTCTCTCTCATACTCTCTCTCGTGCCCTCTAGCAAAATAAAACCCAAAACCAAAACCAAAACAGACCTGACATGCGAAGGCATTCTGCCTGTTTCTCAGACCCAGACCCAGGGCGCTGGCAGACAGCTGACAGGGTCCTGTGCGGCACTTCTGAGGCTCTTGCGGTTTTCTCCCGAGGATCTTCGCAAGGATCCAGCCCCAGAGTCGCCTTCCCCTCAGCCCACTGCCTCTGTGTATGAGACGTGCCCTCCCCTCTGCCGGAGCCCGCCACCTGGACTCATGGCCACAGTCAGGACAAGTGAGCCCAGAGACTGTCCTCTCTGCTCAGCAGACTCCCAGCTCGGCTTCTGCTCTTAGCCAACCACGCTAAGAAATAGCATAGGGGGCCACTAGGTGGCGTGGTGTGCTCTCACATGGCTGACTGTGGTTCAAGTCTGGGACCTGACAGCTCGCTTTCTCACATCCCCTCTCTCTCTTGGTCTCTCTCTGGTGAGCATGAAAAATAGTAATAATAACAAATAAAATTAAAAAAACAATTCTTTCAAAAAAAGAAATAAAGATGATAATACATTTTAAATGAAGGCCCACATTTTAAAATCTAAGGCCCCCAGGGCCACAGCTGTTTCCAGTTTTAGAAATAGTCTCTACAGTAATATAGGCCCCACACCCCATTTCGCATGCGCTCTGCGGTCACGCACACTGACCTGCACTGAGAAGCAGGAGGGCTCACGCCAAACAGAAAACGTGGCTCCAGTGGCTGCCCTCAGTTCAGGTTATGCTGTCTTGCCTAATTTATGTGCCAACATTTTATAACAAAAAGTATTTTTAAAAAGTAAACAAAAACAAAACAAAACAATAAAAATTTCAATTTTGATTCTTCTTTCATCCTTTTGTAATTTTCTTTCGTTTCCTGCCTCAGCTCATTTTATCCATCCTGCTGAGGAATCCTTCCCTTGGCGCTGTAGGCTGGAAGGTGTGTTCTAGCTTATGAAGAAACACTGCCATCCTTGGAGCCACGAGGCTCCCATGGGGACGGCCCCGGCCCCCTCATTAGCTGTCGCACTGCGATGCCAACTGCCCTTTGGCTGCCTCCGCACCTGGGACCGTCTGACTGGACCTGACGGGGAGGGCAGAGCTAAGAAACCTCTGTGCTCCGTGGAAAAATTAAAATGCAAATTACATTTCCAGGGACCTCACCCAGCACTACTCTGCTTCAGTGTCTGTGACGCTTTAAATAGACAACCAAGACAAGCAAGTAAAATGAGCAAAAAATACAAACGTATACACGTCATAGTGCATTCGCTATACGCGTGCACGTGTGTGCACATGCGTGTGTAGTCTGCTGGCCAGTTTGATTGAAATAGCTCTGTACCTAATATCTTATCCCTAAATACAACAAACTGTTTTGTTTTTTTTTTAAGAATGAGTTTTGCTATCAGGCATGGGTACTTGTCAGAGAGAGACAGGGAGAAACAGAGAGAGAGAAAGTGAGAAATCACCCCCCAGGCGGATGGCCATGCCACAGTCCCTTCTCTTCCATTCTCCTCTTGGAATTTTGGGCATGCATGCACATGCACCTGATGTGTTTTAAGCCGCCAGGCTGGGTCCGGGGCTTGAACTGCAGTCGACTATGTGGAAGTCCAGTGATGTAACCATGACGCTATCTGCTGGTATACCAAACTTTTTAAGAGCAAAAAATCTGAAGGAACATTAGCTTCTAAGTATTGTCTCCTTCGCAAAATAGCAGCATCTTAGAGCTTTGCTAAAATGGGTTTGTGAAATGTAAATGTCATCAGTCAGATTTTTAAACTATAAGCTGTGTGGAAAAAGATAAATACAGAAAAGTTGTGTTGCCAAATAGGAAAGGCCAGCGATTTAATTAAAGAAAGATGAGACCCATTTTTCTTTTCACTGGCTGGCTGGCCTTAGCAAGGCGAGGCCGAACGCTCCTGCAGGGAGCTAGCCGGCAGCTGTGGGGCATGTGCACAGCGCTTGTTTCCAAACAGGGCGGGGCAGCAGGGCAGCAGGCCACATGCACCTGTTCGCACGGAGGTCGGCGAAAGGGTCACATTCGTGGGAACGCTGCAGCCTCGGCGGAAGGAGCCCTTAGCTTGCACAGTCTTTCAGGCTTTAAGCCAAGTGTGTTCCATAGCAGATCCTCAGGTTTGGAGGCTCTTGGGGCCTCTGCAAACTACACACCAGGACTCACTGAGGTCAGGGAAGAACCCACAGCGGCCCCCTCTGCTGATCTGAAATGGCGAGGCCAGAGATGCAGGTGCGATGGGAAGGAAATGCCGATGACTGCGGTGAGAATCATGCCCCTTCCTGTGCTTCATCACTGCTCACATTCCAGAACTCCTTTTTGGTCTTCTAAACTGTCTGCACCTCCTGAGGCTTATGCTCTTCTGGAAAGCTCACCAGCAAGTCACAGAACCTTAGGAGTTTCAGTGCTCAGGGATCAAAAGATGGCCTAATGGTTATGTTGGTGGACTCCCACATAGTCAACTACAGTTCAAGTCCCAGACCTGGCAGCCTAAAACTTATGCTGGGCGTGTGTGTGTGTGTGTGTCCAAGAACCCAAAAGGAAGATGGAGGAGAAGGGATTGCGGTGTGACCATCGCCCCTGGGGGGTGATTTCTTACTTTCTGTCTCTCTGGCGAGCATATGCATCCTATAGCAAAAATGTCTCCAAAAAAAAAAAAAAAAAAGTTTCAGTGCTCGAAGGAAAGCCGCAAACGGCCTTATCCAAACTAGGGGAGCAGATCAGCCTGGCGGGCTCTCATAGGGGTCAAGAGGAGGCAACCGGGAGAATTATGAAAAGGAAACGTGCAGAATTACCTGGAGAACCTGCTGCTAACAACTCTGTCCTGCTGACAACAAAGGTACGAGACAGGGACAAAGGAACTGAAAATGGAGAAAAACAGGGTGAGACCATGGCAAAAGGCAAGAAAGGAGATCTCTATGGTCAAGGGGACGGGAACGAATACGCGCTCTACCTTACAAGCGTCCCGCTCCGGAAGTGCAAAACGCCTGGGTGACACATTTTAGAAAAACACCACCAAACCAGAAAACCCCACACACTGCTTTCCAGGAAGAGGAATCCAGGGAGGCTGAATCAGAAGAAATCCTATTCACGTGTTTTACTAACCTACAAATCTCTTAAGCCATTAATACCCAATTGGAGTTTAAAGCTCAAAACGTGCTATTCTTAAGGACTTAAATCACAAATAGCCACACAGAAGGGGAGCTCTACGAATGAACTGCCCCATAGCAGGACCCACAGGGCCGGTGCCTGCACCCAACGTTCATTCACCGCATCTCCCCATCTGTGAGCGGGAAGGTATCTAATACACCCCATCCTCGGCCTCACGGTCACTCTGACCCGGCGCCTTGGATTGCGGTGGAATTTCAGGTTTCAAAATAGGGGGAAGTCGATAATGAATGTCATCACAGGCTTCCTGCGGCTGCGGCCCAGGCGCCCTCACCACTGTCCTCAGACAGGTGCCACCTGATCAGAGTCGCATGAACGCGCCATGCCGGGCAAGACTCATACTTTCAGGGCACTTCTTGAAAACTCATTATTGTAGATATTTTCCCCAAACATCAAACATTAATAAATGTGACATGGTGGCTAAGATGCTCGACCCCACAGGGCTGACTCCCCTGTTCATATCCCAGACCGAGCAACTTGAGGGACGTGCTAGGTGCATGTGTGTGTGTGTGTGTGTGTGTGTGTGCCCAAAATCCCAAGGGGAGAATGGAGGAGGAGGATTGTGGCATGGCTGTCCCCCCAGAGAGTGATCTCTCACTCCTCTCTCTCTGTCTCTTCCTGGTGAGCGCATGTGCTCTATGACCAAAAAAGAAAATACACACACACACACACACACACACACACACACACACACACAAACGTCATCTTGAGATGCGCATACTAATTGGACCTCTCAATGAATAACCAAATCTAGCTGTGAAGTCCAGTAAACACAGGCTTTGGAATAAGAGGCCAGTGATGAAATGCCCCGCTTCTTTGGCGTTTCCCAACGAGGCGGAGCTGCTGCGGCCCCAGGCCCCTGTTGAAGGCAGCCCTTTATTGCTCTTCTGAAGGGACCCTGTTCTTCCATCGCACAGTCAGGCGTCCCTTCACGGGGATACATTCTGACCAGCGTGTCCGAGGCGACTTTGGCACTGTGTGGCTGTCACCCAGTGCGCTACACCACCCTCGGCTCCACCATGGCGGGCGCCGTCTGTCTGGGCTGAAACGTCTCCACATGGTGCATGACTGTTGTTCTACGTGAGCTGGACTATTTTTAAAGTTTCAGAACCAGCGGTCAATACAAATGTGCTACTGACTCTTCTAGTTTTCTTTTCAAAGACACCTTAAGAACCCGGGTCTGCTAACCCGGGGCTGAGTAGAAGCTGGTTGCCAAAAATAGTCACAATTACAACACCTTTCTGTTATGCCACATTTCCTCTGATGCTTTAACGCCTAGGAAGCACTGAGGTCATTACACTGCATCCTAGTCTCCTAATAATCATCAGGTAGTCCCTTCTTCTTTCTTAAAGTCAGGGTCTTCCATGTTCCGATCCCCCTGCCTCGGCCTCCCAGCCGGGACTACAGGGGACCACATTCCCAGCTCTGTTTTGGACAATATCTCACTATATTGCCTGGGCTGGCCTGGAGCTTGCAAACCCTCCTGCCCCGGCCTCCTGAGTTACTGGGACTATAGGCGGAGAACACCACACCCAGCCTTTAACGGGGCATCCGACCTTGTCCTCCCACGTGGTCCCAGCCTGTGGGGCGTGGCCTCTTAGCAGCCGCTGGGCCTCTCCTTTTAACATGGAGGAAATCAGTGGTCGTGCTCACGGTCACGAAACCCGATGCAATGGAACTGGGCCTAGAGCCCTCGTCTCCTCACTAGCCTCAGCTCGCTCTCACTGACCGATGAAAAAAGATCACCTTCAGGTTTACCACAGAAATCACCAATCATATAGGGGCAGACAGGCCCACGTACATCCTGGGGGCTGATTAGCAGTTGCTAAGGGGGCCACCACCCACAGGAGTCAACACTTGCACCCAGAGAGTGAGAAGACAACACTGGAGCACAGGCGGTTCAGACACACACGATTTCTGGGCATTTTGCTGCTCTCTACTGTAACATCCTTGGGTCCAGCAGACCCAGTCTCTCAAGACTGCCCAGCCCAAGTAGCCCATCCTCCTGTGAGAGTGGTTTTCAGAGTCGCCGCCTGTTTCAAGATAGGCTGTCTAAGTTTGAGGTTCTTAGCGTCTACCACGGGATGTCATTTGATATATCGACCACAAGGTGGCACTGCAGCACCTCTGTTCACCTGCCCGACCTCTCAGGCCAGGGTAAGCGGATACAGAGGCTGTTAAAGACCTGTCCCCAGACAGGAGCAGACACACTAGGCCTCTGTGTTTATGCTCCTTCTAGGACAGATCTGACTTGCTGGCATCTTAGCATCCCGTGCCTAGAGAACCCAGTCAGTCCTCCATGGCACTCTACCCTTAGCTGGCTGACTCAACTGGCCAGACAACAGCCGGCTATAGACATAGTAACCGCCTCCATGCTTACTCAAGAAAATGCAAACAAAAGCCTCTTGAATAAATACTATTAAAACGACTCAGCAATACCAAGTGTTAGATATGGAGCAACTGGAGCCTTCACACAGTATGAAGAGACTTAAAAAGTTCATAGAATGGGGCTGGCAGGTGGCATGGTGTTTAAGGTACTGGACCCCACACGGCGGACTCCACGGTTCGGGTCCCAGCTCAAGGTGGCCTGAAGACATGTTGGGAACTGTGTGTGCATGCCCAAAATCCTAAGAGGAGAGGGAGGAGAAGGGATTGTGGCATGGCCATCTCCCTGACACCCCAGAGGGTGATTTCTCTGTCTCTCTCTGGCAAGCGTACGGGTCTTATGATAAAAAATTTAAAAATAAACTAAAAATAAATAAGTAAATAGGAGCTGGCAGGTGGTGTGGTGGTTAAAGGTGCTGGATTCCCACATGGCCGAACGTGGCTGGAGTCCTGGACCTGGCAGCTTGCTTCCTGGCTTCCCCTTTCTCTCTGTCTCTCTCTGGTCAAATTAAAAAATACTAACAAATGGATGTAAATAAATAAATAATTCTATAAAGAAAGAAAGAAAAGTTCATGGAATAATGGAATTAGAGACAAGTTTATTTTGAGGGGAAAAAATTAAGGAAGTCCATGTATTTTTTCACAGTGTGCATTTTTCCATAAACTTTTTTTTTTTTTTTTTTTTTTGGAGAGATTTTCACTGTAGGGCACGTGCGCTCGCCAGACAGACAGAGACATAGAGACAGAATGCGAGAAATCACCCCCCGGGGGGATGGTCACGCCGCAATCCCTTCTCCTCCATTCTCCTCTTGGGATCTTGGGCACGCACGCACACGCACCCGGCGTGAGTTTTAAGCTACTGGGTCCGGGACACGAACCGCGGTCGACTACGTGGGAGTCCAGCGACATAGCCCTTACGCTAACTGCTGGTTCCCCATTTTTCCATAAACTTTTTCAAGACCTCACACACATACAGGTAAAGTGCTAGATCACGAGCCAGACTCTAGTACCTACCCCATCTGTAAACCAGTGTAACTGGCCCAAGCACCCTAGACGGTTGGGCAGTGGCTACTAAAGCTGCAGACGCAGGCGCCCCGTGGCCCAGCAGCTCCAGCTCTGAGTAGACACCCGAGAGAGACGCATGGCCACGTCCGAGACAGGTATAGCGTGTTCTGAGCCTCCCCGCTCACGGCAGCACCAGAACAGAAACCATCCCGACGCCCTTCGGCAACAAGGAGGGCGGCCGCGGCCTTCACTGTCGCAGTCGCAGCGTGGTGCTACACGGCGGCGAGGAGAAATCAACCACCACAGCGACAGCACAGGTGCGTGTGACCGGCTTAGCGCACGGCGTGGGAGCCAGGCTCGGGAAATGCACACTGAGATTTCATCTGACAGCGTTCAAAATCAGACAAGCCAGGTCCATCCAAAGATGGCAAGATAGTGGCTACTCGGAGGGACAGTAACTCAAGAGCAGCTGGGGGGCTCGTCGGGGTGGGTGATGCTCTGCCCCCCCGATCTGGTGCCTTTTATGCAGAGAGCCAGTTTGTGGAAAGCTCACGGCCGCGTACTCGGGATCCGTGCCAGGGGTTCTATACGTAATAAAGGTCTCAGAAAGTGACACGGAAGGTCAGCAGGGAGGGCCTGAGAGGAAGGCGAGGGCAGAAGAGCATCGACTCCCGGAACAGCCCTGCACGGAGGCCAGGGCCACACTCACCTGGAGAGGCCGTCAAGGCCATTACGCCATAGTACGAAAAAGCACTCGCTTCGAACTTCATACCTTCTTTCCCAGCTTCTACTTCCACTTTCCCCTGCGGAGACAGACAAGGGGTCTCTTCAGTCCCGCTGCATGCGTCTACTTACAACTTCTTGCAAAATTCGATCCCTCCCCAGGTTTGTTTCGATTCCTTTCCCAACAATTCCAAGGAAGTAAAGCTTCAGATCATCTTTTCCACTTAGAGACAGGAGTGGGTTAACTCGTAAATAGGAGAACTGGGTTAGGCTAGAAGGTGGAGATGGCGGTCAGAGGGTGACACTCCATCCTGCGTGTCCGCTCAATACTAGCTTGTCGGGAAAGTCATGAAGCATTTCTGCGCTGAAAAACTACGTCATGACTCTCCCGACACTAACATTTTCTCAGCAGCGTTAGTGCCTGGGTCCTTCAGGAGCTCCAGTAATAAAGCTGATGCTGTCCCCATCAGGAAGGCAGACACTGAGAAGATGCTCAGCGGGGGTCACCCATGCTGTCCTGCAGGGGCCAGGCTTCAGGCAGAATCAGGGAAGGTCCACATGGATTGTGGCCACGCAAAGAGCTGGCTCCTGGGGGCAGGACCTGCACTCACCTCCATCCTGACCCCCTGAGCAGTCAGCCTGCAGGCCCATGCCCTGTGGTCAGGCTCCCTGAGGCATGTCAGCACCGTGGCATCCTCTCCTCACTGCCGAGAAGCTCTCCCTCCAGCAGGACAAAGTTCCACTCTCCTCCTCTAAGGCTTTCCTTGGCTTCCCTTTGTCTACCTTGTCCACGGCTCCTTCACGTGTATCAGGTGATCTGGGACAGACCGCGCCCCACTCACCTCCACGACCCTACAAATCCACTACAATCCCTCACGGAGGGTACTTGAGATGTGTTTTCTGGGTTGTTGCCACTCACTCAAAGCGAGTTCCACTTCTAGATTTCCAGTCAAGGGTCAGAAAGGCTCTCGTCTATGTGAGCCACGTGAGCCACGATCACCTGTCCAGTTAGAAGGTAGTGATACCGTGCATTCATTACAACGATAAAGAGAACGCTGCCACTCACTGAAGAGAAACTACGCCAACACCTGAGTGTTTACTGATTCATTCAGCGCTCACAGCTCTACGAAGCACAAGTCAGGACAGAGGGGCTCAAAGACAGAAACCAAAGATTATTTTTAAGTTTACTATAGGGTGCGTGCACTCACCGGTGAGAGATGGTGAGAGATCACCCCTTGGAGGATGGCCTTGACACAATCCCTGCCCCTCCATGCTCCTCTTGGGATTCTTGTGTTTTTTGAGCTGCCGGGTCTGAGACTTGAACAGGATAGCTGGCCACGTGGGATCCAGCACCTTAACCTCCATGCCACTGGCTGGCCCATCGAAGAACAAGCTCTTAACCATTATGGTATGCTGTGCCGCCCACTGATGCAAATTCCCTTATTCTAAGCAACTCCAAGACCCTATTATTACCACTAAAGTCTAACTACAGAAGACCTTAGCCACTTCTCTAGAAGACGACCCACTGTCTCCCTTCACCCAGGAGGAATATTGGTCTTGCCAGTCCCCTCGCAATACTCTTGCTGTGAGAAAGAAACAGAACTCTATTCATAATATCAAACTGACCCCGAGAAAGACGAGAGGAAGCCCCGCTTGCAGGCAGGGCCCTCCAGGAGCTTACGGCCCAGCAGGTGGAGAGCAGGGACACAGGGCCAGAGACGAGAGCAACATAGGGAAAAAGACAGCGAGATACAGGGTGGACAGGAAAACGGGACTTTCTGTTGCTGTGGTAAGATACTTTCATACAGGAAGGGAAAACAAAGGATGAGCGGAATTTGGTTGAACCAAGAAGAGGAAGGAGTGAAGACTGGCAGCGGCCAGGTGGTGGCCCTGCCCTGGTCTGCACAAGGACCAGCAGGAGAGGAGGTGGCAGGCAGCTCAGGAGAGACGCTCTGAACCCTCTGAACCGTGAGTGAGGAGCAGGGTTTCAGGAAGAGGAGTTCAGGCAGGCTGAGCGGCTGAGGGGTGGAGAGACAGCTGGGGAGGCTGTGGGGATCAGCGGTGACACCTGCAGGGAGCGGAACGGGGAGGAGGGGCAGGAATCGCCTCTGAGTGACCTGAGGGGACTCCAGGCTGGAGAGGGGACAGCAGGGAGCAGCGGCAGCAGTGCAGGGGCAGGGGTAGGCGGGAAGGGCCCTGCCATTCTAGAACCGGCCTCTTGAAGAGGCTGAAATGGAAGAAAGAAGGGTTAGGAGAAAGGTCAGGCCGGAAAAGCAAGTGGAAAGAAAAAAACGACCAAGGGCAGCCCGTGGGGTGGAGCAGGGGGGAAACAGACCAAGGAAGAAACAGAGGGAGGGACCCCGGTGGTGCGCCTCCCCCAAACCTGGAGCAAGTCTCCTGCTCAGAAACTGGCGCGGAAATACGAAAGCCACGGGAGGCAGGGAGGCGGCGGGCAGGCAGGGAGCCGGGGAGGCGGGCAGAGTTACGCAGGTGCTTGGTAGCCTCGGAGGGGAGCGGAGCGCTCCCACGTCAGAGAGGTCAGAGAGGACGGCGGGGTGAAGGGGGGCGGTGGGGATCACCTCCCTTCAAGCAGAGGCGGGGCCAGGACGTAGGAAGAGGCAGCAACCGAGTAGCAAGGCCAAGAGCCGGTGGGGATGGAAGGGATGGGGGCCAGTGACAGGATGTCCCAGGGTGACGTCCCGGGCAGAGTGACGTCCGGGGCAGAGTGACGTCAGGGCAGGAAGAGTGACGTCACAGCAGGCCGGGTGAGGCCAGGGGAGGCATGGTGACGTCAGGGCATTAGGGTTCCACCGGAGAGGGAAGGGGAGGGAAGAGGCGGTAGGGGACACAACCCTGAGAGGGCAGCACAAGGGCGCCTTGACCGCGCAGGGCTTCTCAGCTCCCACCAGGACCGCCCCGCGAGCTGAATGCAATGCCTGCTGTGCAGTCTGTCATCTCGAGATTCCGCAGACCCAACCCCAGCCTGAACCTCTGCGCGGAGCCAGAGCGACAGGCCTCCCCACCGACTTCCACCTATGCCGTCTGCTGGCCCTGGGTTACCGCATTTTTATTTTATTTTATTTTTTTCCAGGGCCGGCACATGGGATAGCAGTTACGTCACTGAACCGACCGTGGTTCGAGTCCTGGACCCAATGGCTTGAAACTCATGCTAGGTGCATGTGCACCCTCCAGATCCTGGGGGAAGAGGAGAATGGACTGCGCTGTGGCCGTCCCCCACCGGGGCTGATTTCTCGCTTCCTGTCTCTGTGTCTCTGGCAAGCGCTCGTGTGCCCTACAGCAAAATATCTATCTATATACTTTCTCCTCTTACAGGTCTCACTGTGCTGCTGTCCTCCTGCTTCAGGTAGCTGGGACTGCGGGCACGTGCCCTCACACCCAGTGATTTAGACGGTCGGCCAGGGATTGAACCCGCGCCTCCCATATGGCCTCAGCCCGCCAAGCAGCAGTCTCACCCAGCTACTGTGGCTGAGCCAAATAAAGATATTCTTAAAAATACAGCATCTACTGTTAACACCATTTCACAAAAGAGTGAACACTTTAATCCACCACATTTAGAAAATGTATAAATTCAGACTTACAGACGAGTCTTCAGACGAAACACACATAGATTTGGGAAGAGCTCACAGCAACTGTCTTTATTTTTCTCAGTTTGCCTCAAACTGGTGAAAATCTTGTTAAAGTATCTACTTAGGAACCACTTCCCTGGAGAATTTTACTTCACTTGAAGTTTGCAGTGGATTAGAGGATCCCTGAAGTCCTTTCGTTCTAGCCGCCTATGATTCTCCAGTTCTGGGACTTCAACACTGTCTGGTCCCATCGCTCTTGCTATAGAAGTTAAGCTTTCTGGCAGGCAGGCTTTAGAAACATCCAGAAAACACGTATTTCATTTGTTCACGTGTCGGTGGCTCCAAACATGATCATTTCCCTTTTTTTTGGAGAGGGTTTTGTTATAGGGCGTGTGCTTGCCAGAAAGACAGAGACAGAGAGACAGAAAGCGAGAAATCACCCCCCAGGGGGGATGGCCATGCCGCAATCCCCTCTCCTCCATTCTCCTCTCGGGATCTTGGGCACGCACGCACACGCACCTGGTGTGAGTTTAAGCCACCAGGTCCGGGACTCGAACCGCTGTTGACTACATGGAGTCCAGTGACATAGCCATTACGCTAACTGCTGGTCCCCAAACATGATCATTTTCAAACAGCCCTTCCAGCACACAGAGGGCCATCCCCAGGAAAATGGCTCACCTGGCTCACCACAACTCGCTGCCTTCTCAGGTAACATCTTCTCTTATGATGAAGGATTTTGCTTTTGAAACATTCATAAATTCTCTTCTCGACAGCCCCCCAAAATAAAATACAGTAAGGGCACACTGAACTCCAAGCATCCCCAAAGAGAACAAGGGCTTTGTGTTTCTAAAGGGCAACGAGGAAGAATGGCTCCGTGGTCCAAGCAAAGCAGGCTCCCTAAGCACAATTTCTATCGCAGAGTGTTACCTTCCTGAGGGCGCAGACATTAGACAACCTTGTCTCAAAGTTGCTAATACCCACAAAGGCCCTTCCTGGTCTCAGAGTAGGATCCTGCACGGTCCCAGTCGGGCGGCAGAACCATCGTGGTGCCAGCTGGACCAGCGACTTCTGGAGGGTGAAGACGTCCCCGGACGCCTTGTGCTGAGCAGCCCCTTGGCCTCCTGCTCACTCTCCAGTTGCCTTTTTTGTTTTGCTTTTGCTTTTTAACTCATCATCACCAAGTATTCAGTGGGCCTTGGCACCTCGAGGGGCAGACAGCAGGTAGTGTTCCCAGCATCTGCTCACAGCCTGGGGTCTCTGGCACGCACTCATTCTCCAGCAGTGTTTTCCAACCTGGAGTCTGCAGATGCAGTCCTGGGACTTAGCAAGTTTGTTTCATAAACGTTAATTTTTTTTTTTTTTTGAGAGGTTTTTGCTTGCCAGACAGACAGAGAGAGACAGAGAGACAGAAAGTGAGAAATCACCCCCCCAGGGGGGATGGCCACGCCGCAATCCCTTCTCCTTCATTCTCCTCTCGGGATCCTGGGCAAGCA